AACTGCAAGTCACTTCTGGTGTGAGAGAATTGGCCATCTGCAAGGATGTTGCCCAGGGGACGCCTGGATGATTTGATGTTTTTTTCATCCTTGTGGGAGGCTTCTCTCATGTCCCCGCATGAGGAGCTGGAGTTGATAGAGGGAGCTCATCCGCCTCTCCCCGGATTTGAACCTGCGACCCGTCGGTCTTCAGTCCTGCCGGCACATGGGTTTAACCCACTGCGCCACTGGGGGCTCCCCCTTCAGGGTGAGAAGGGTGGACTATAAATGTTTTAAATAAAAAATAAATAATACACAATTTTGGCTCTCTCCTGCTACCATCAGCAAAACCATTCCATTTGTTTTTAGTTGCCAGCATGGATCCAAAACATGGCTTTTAATGCTTGAAACTGTTGTTTTAAGCTGTATTTTAGGATTCATTGAAGACTATTTTTTTTAAAAAAAAAACATTCAATTTTAATGTGTTTTAAATGCTTTTATTTCTGTATTATTGTATTAGTTTTTGTTTGTTCACTGTCTCAGAAGCCCTTTCTGGAAGTCCAGAAATACCATAAACTGGTGTCCCTCGGGAGAACATGGCTAGCAGATTCTGTATCAAAAACCAAGTACAATCTGAAAGCACTGGAGAAGAATAATACCCCATCTGGCCATAAGCAGAGGCCTCTTTTTCATGTACTCCCTATATTCCAAATTTGATGCCAAAGTACACAAGTGCAGTTTCTTCTCATGTACACCTCTCCTCTTATTTTTCTTTTCTTGCGAGCCGAGAAGTTCTTTTATTAAAACGCACAGATCAGCAAAGGCTGCAACACGTTCTGGCTTACAGTTTTGCCTTGTTTTAATTCTCTATATTGGAGTTCTGTAAGCCTTATAGATCAATTAAAGAATTTTAGTATTGGTTTAATTGGGAAAGGGCTTTTAAAAATTATTTTGACATTTCTTTCTGGTGAATGTAGCACAAGCCGTGTTTTAGCCAGCAGCTGTGGACAGGTAGCATTCCAAAGTATGACTTGACCTTTGGCTGGCTTCATATTTAAGAAGTCCAGCTGCATTCCACAGCCAGGGATTATCTCAGGAGCTGACAAGCCACGAGAGAGAAAGAGAGAGGGAGAGAAAGAGAAAATTTTAGCGATATCCTGAGGGGATTGTAAATCATGAAGTAAAAATATTTAATAACCCAAATGTCAAAAAAATATAGAATTTCTTGAAACATGTGCAACCCACTTTGACAGGTATCTGTATTTCTGTTAATGAGCGTTCAGAGCAGTATGAAATAAAAAAAATTAGTGATAATAATGTAATTATCATACACATGGGAGACGAGGTCAAAGTAAATATGTTGAATTTTCAGGACAAAATTTCACTCATTCTTCAGTATCTCTGAGGGAAATCACTGTACATGTGTATAGTTCTTCATCCAACAAAGCCTCCCAAGTGAGCTAAGCTATCCCTTTCATAAGAATCCTTTTAAGGATATTTGTCTTGAATTCTATTTTTTTTTAAAAAAAACATATTGAGAAAAATAAGAAAAATAAAGTGAATAAGCGAAAGGTGCCATTATTTCTATCCAAAACTATGAATGTAAGAACCTCGGAGTGCTTCCACCAAGCACATTTTATATTCCACTACCACCAGTGGAGCTGTGGTGGCGCAATGGGTTAAACCCTTGTGCCAGCTGAACTGCTGACCTGAAGGTCGGCAGTTCAAATCCACAAGATGGGGTGACCTCCTGTCTGTCAACTCCAACTTCCCATGCAGGGACAGGAGAGAAGCTTCCCACAGGATGGTAAAACATCTGGGCGTCCCCTGGGCAACGTCCCTGCAGACAGCCAATTCTCTCACACCAGAAGTGATTTGCAGTTTCTCAGTTTCTCAAGTCACTTCTGACACAATTTTTAAAAATGCACCAAATTAAGTGCCATATCCCCAGAAAGAATAAATGAGAAGCAGTAAATGCTTTTGTATGCCTTTCTAAGATGGGAAAGTTTGCTTTCATAGCTTCACAGCTTCCTTTCTCTGGGTCAAAAGGAGAAGACTCCATCATTTCTGTTGCTTCTCCTGTTCTGAAGGCAAAGTAAGGCTAACACAATAAAGTCCTGGCACTTTTTTCAGTTGGAAATCTGTACTTCAGTGCCAGAGCCAAAACATACAATGATGCACTGCTCTTGTAAGATTGATATGATGGCTGAGAAATGTTAGTGCTCACTTTCATGACATGACTAATTGCTACTAACTCCAGGCAAGTACTTAATTGCACATAATGGCTACAGGTCTCCAAAAATATGAAATCACTGTATGATTTGGACCCAGAAGAGAGTGAGCTGATTTTCCCTTGGCAACAGGACTTTCATCCCTTTCCTCTCCCTTTCCTATTGCCATACTACTCAGGGGACCCTCTAGAACAATTTGGGATGAATAATGGACATTGCAGGGGAATGGGGAAATCAGAAAAAAAAACCTTGGCAAATCTGCCCTGTGCAAAGGGAAGCACTTTCAGATTTGGTCCTGTACCAAGCTCAAAAACAAATATTGTGATTTAATAACTGGTAATACAAAGCAGATGTGAACCAATGTATTGTACTAGCACTCCAGGAGATCAGGATTGAAAACCCTGCTCGGCCATGGAAATCTACTTGGTAATCTTGGGCAAGTTACATTCTCTTAGCCTGAGGAAGACAAAGACAAACCCTCTAACAAATCTTCCCAATAAACTTTTGTGGTAGTTTGCCTTAAGGGTGCCATATGCCAGAAAACTTAAGGCTACAAACCAATGAAAGAACTCAGGAGAATATCAGGACACTGCATTAAATGCCAATCTGTAGTCATCTTAACAGCATGTGTTCTAAGGAGTTGTCATGAGTCAGTAACAACTTTAAGACACTTAACAGCACCATCTACTGAAACCAGAACCAGTCCAAATTATAAAATAATTGATGAGCAGCTTTTTTTTAAAATAAGGACAAATTCCTCTTTCCTTTAAAGATAACTCTGAGTGTTACTTTCATCTTTCAGATTATCCCTAGGAAGAGAACAGAGGTGACTAGTATACAGGAACATACATACTCCTTGGCCCCTATATCCAATTGAGATCTCAAATGGAGACACTCCATAGTTAAATCAAATGGGAGAACTTTCCTAAACTTTGGAACTTAGCCTTACTTTCCTAATGTCAAAGTATAGTTGATTAGTATAGTATGACTAGGAGCATATAACCATAATATACATGAGGGAATGGAAGCAACATTTAAGCCAGGAGTAGTCAGCCTGTGGCTTTGATACAGGACTCTAGTTACCAAATGTCCCAGACACCTTACAGCAGGGGTCCTCAAACTATGGCCCGAGGGCCAAATACGGCCCTCCAAGGTCATTTACCCGGCCCTCGCTCAGGGTCAACCTAAGTCTGAAATGACTTGAAAGCACACAACAACAACAACAACAACAACAATCCTATCTCATCAGCCAAAAGCATGCCCACACTTCCCACTGAAATAGTAATAAGTTTATGTTTGTTAAAATTGTTCTTCATTTTCATTATTGTGTTGTTTTTAAGTGTCTTTTGCATTACAAATAAGATATGTGCAGTGGGCATAGGAATTCGTTCATTTTTTTTTCAAATTATAATCTGGCCCTCCAACAGCTTGAGGGACTGTGACCTGGCCCTCTGTTTAAAAAGTTTGAGGACCCCTGCCTTACAGGGTGGGATGGGGCACTTCATCTACAATTGACAAAGGAAGCCCGCCACTGATTTAAGAGTCATGCTTTATTACATGTATAAAGTCAAACTTCTTTAATTACTTCTACAAATCAATCATATTCAAATTATTTTATTTTGCATATATATAATCCGATATGAAACCCCTGAATTAGTTCCTCAAATTACCTCCTCCCCCCTCTTCTCCAACTATATATATGGACAAAGCCCTTAAAGATGGATTACAAATTCCACTGACTGGTTGCATTTTTATCTTCTTGCTACTTTTTATAACTATACCTAAGTTTTGTCTCATTGCTCAGATGCCTTTAAGCTTTCTTGCACAATATACGAGCCATATGTAATTCTTTTAATGATACCTCTGGTATGTAAAGTATTTGCAAAAGCTTTCTTTAAAATGCACATGATATGTTAAACCAGTGCATAAGTAGTTCCCAAGACAAATCTGGCATGTACTAAACATCTATGATTTGGTTAATTTTAAATTTAACCACTGTGCAAATGTACATTGGGAAGGTCAGATAAATGCTTGTCCTGATTAAGCAAATAAAATATTTTAGAAGAGAGCAGTGTTCTCTTCTACATATATTGGAGAGAGCTATTTTTTAGACATGTTCAAATCAAAGCCATATTCAATCATTACTCCCCTAGCTTTCTTCAGAGGAGATTTATCATCAGGGGAGAAGTGACCATAATGAATCTGTATCTACTTTCTTAGTTCTTCCCACTGTTTGTTTTATTTGGGGAGGGGCGAGTCCAACTGATGACATTTTAAACTAAATGTTTCTTTTTCCTGCACCTTATTTTTAAACAGGAAGACAGAGAAGAAAATATGGAGAGGTATTAAGTGCATCACAGGGATGGGTGTGATGGTAGGAAGCCACATCCACATCCAATCTCAAGTAAGAGAAAAAAAGTTATTGAAGAGAATTGCACAGATCAGGGGTAATGCTGCAACCAGCAACAAACCAGGTTCAAAATATAGTGAGAGTAGAATGCAACCATTAAACATTATGAAACCCCATAAGAGAACACCCTGAGATATCTTAGAATTATTCATTAGTCTGGAGGAACCCAGTACTTATTACTATTCTTGTCTCCATACTATTCTTTTCTCTAAATGATCTGTCTGGGGACTTGGCATGAGTTGCCTCAGGTATTCTAGAATTTGCATATGCGGCCACAAATGCTCTGCACAATTCTGTGCTCAATCAATATCCAAAGAGGGAGGTAAGGCAGCTATTTTGTTACTGTAATTCTCTGGCACAAAACAGTGTTATTTACTTACCTTTTCTTTTTTGTGATGATGAGGACATCATTAAAGAGGAAGAAGTAAACTTGTTGCTTAGAGGTTCTTTTAGAGAAAAGTCCTGTGTCTTCCACAAAGGCCATTAATTCACCCCGTTTCACTAGCCACCGGGAAGAGGAAACCAGCGGAAATGGCTACAAAGGAAGAATATTGATATTTAATTCTTACAAAAAAAATCTGTAGGATTTCTCCAGAGAAACACAGATATGCAAACAATAAACTATGAATTGTCAAAGACTTTCATGGTCAGAATCACTGGGTTGTTGTGAGTTTTCTGGGCTGTATGGCCATGTTTCAGAAGCATTCTCTCCTGACGTTTCACCTGCATCTATGGCAGGCATCCTCAGAGGCTGTGGGACCTCACAACCTCTGAGGATGCCTTCCATAGATGCAGGCGAAATGTCAGGAGAGAATGCTTTTTTAACATGGCCATACAACCCGGAAAACTTACAACAACCCAATAAACTATGGGTTCTTTCAAAGCCTACAACCTTGGCAACAAAGGGGAAAAGATGCTCTCTAATATTCTTGCAATAATTTTCTTCTAATCCATAAACAATCTGGTTTATGTTAAGAATAAAAGGCAATAACATAATGACAAGCAGCCATGAAGGTCTTGTATTATTACTATTGCAAAAAAATGAAAAATATGTCAACGTCTTTAAAACCTATTTTTGCCTTTGCCTATAATAAGCAAACACACCTTCCATATGAAATAAAATTATCTTAAAACATATAACTGCTTACATTCCAAACTCTATTTTTCTAGATTTTATTTGGATTTAAAAAAAACTCCTGCCACAATTTTCCAATAATTCCCCAATAACTTTTAAATTCCCTTTTAATAAACTGACCTGAAAACTGAGCCAAGAATATTTTTTAATCTTACCAACCCATTTGAAAATATTTGTCCCATGGGTAAAATTAAGTTAGGAGAAGAAAACCTGTTTCTAATGAGACAATAAAAAGAGACATTGTAACATTTCAGGTCTGAGTGCCAGAGGTAGTTTTATGCCAATGGAGGGTTCCATGGTTGTTAACAGCTTTATTGGGGCAGAAATGGGGGCATCCCTTTAGGTCAGTGGTTCTCAACCTGTGGGTCCCCAGATGTTTTGGCATTCAACTCCTTGAAATCCTAACAGCTGGTAAACTGGGATATCTGGGAGTTGTAGGCAAAAATGCCTGAGGACCCATAGGTTGAGAACTACTGCATTAGGTGGAAGGATTCTTCTCCAAAAATGGAGGAGAGCAAATGCTGTATCCTAAGCTCTTAGACACAGCATCAAGGGGGTTAGGATTCAATAAGTGATCGTTCAGTGAAAAGTTTACTTCTTGATGCTTCTCTTCCAGTTTGTTAATTGTTTTCTCCACAATATGGGTTCCTTTATTACCAAATAGAATTTTGTAATTCTCCTGTATTTTTAATACCATAAGCTGCCAAAACAAGTAAAGTTTAAGGAATGATAGCATACGAGTGCAGAAGACACAACAACTTTAGCTTTGTCTCCTCTGTTTCTACATTGTTAAAGAAAATTAGAATTGGAATTTAAATGGCCTAAGAAAATGAGTATATGTAGTAGAACGTAATTGAAAATGTGCTTGTTTGGAACAGTAAATTCAGCTGGTATTTGAAATATGTGCAAAAGGGAAAAACAACCCCACCTTTCAAACTGAGAGAGAAAAAGTAGATTACATGACAAACATTGAAAATGTGAGAAGTCAAGGGAGATAAACGCAGTGAGACAACACTGAATTATTTTTTAACTGCGTGTAGAAACACACTGCAGAGGAAGTATGCTATGATTATTTAGGGTATATGTCTAGGTAATGTATGTCAACTGAATGTCAGTATTTTTTAGAAAAAAACACACACATAATTTTTTTTCTACTTCGCTTGAACAAGGACTAGAGTCCTATTATGTCAATGGAGTGTGCTTCAAGCACCATAGTTGTTTTCAAGATACGAACTTGTTTGCCTTCTCCTAAAACATCAGCCCAATAACCCTTCATTCCCCAAATAATTGTATTTACTCTAGCTATGACAACATATTACTGAAACCAAGCAAAGGTTAAAGTTTGCACAATAAAAGTGTGATGGAAAATATCAAACCTTGATTTTGAATTCCAGCTGGGAGTTGATTGTATACATCATTTCAGTCCTTTCCATTTTTCGAGCACCTTCATTGCAGAGGCGAACCAACTGGGAAAGAAAAAAAAAATCATTGTGATGTATTCAGGATTGAAAGCATTCTTACTACTCTTTACGACATGATATTTTTCAGGAATTAATCATGAAGAGGAAGGGGGCTGAAGAGATTTCTATTGTACAAGTAACTTATCATGATCAGCTCTTTCTATAATATTGTTCAAAACTTCCAGTCACATCATCATCATCATCATCATCATCATTATTTTACTAACACATTATTTTACTGTCACAGCAAATGAGATCTATATGTTGGATTTCGTATCACAAAATCATAAGTCCAACACTTCCCAAGCGTCTAGGACTGTGTGATGTATTTTTTTAATGATGTGCACCAATCCAAGTAAGGTGGCCTTTTGCAGTTGACAGATCGTGATTTTGTCAATGTTTATTGTTTCCAAATGCTGGCTGAGGTCTTTTGGCATGCCACCCAGTGTACTGATGACCACTGGGACCACCAGATCCTTTGCAATTCAATTTTGAGGTCTTGATAACGGCTGAGTTTTTCCTGTTGTTTTTCGCCAATTCGCCTGTCACCTGGTATGGTGACATCAATGATCCAAACTTTTTTCTCTTCCACAATCATGATGTGTATTGTGTTCCAAAACTTTGTCAGTCTGGATTCGAAAGTCCCACATTATTTTTGCATGTTCATTCTCCACTACCTTTGCAGGTTTATGATCCCACCAATTCTTTACTGCTGGCAGGTGGTACTTGTGACATAAGTTCCAGTGAATCATTTGGGCCACAGAGTCGTTCCTTTGTTTGTAGTCCGTCTGTGCGATTTTCTTGCAACAGCTGAGGAGATGGTCCATGGTTTCATCAACTTCCTTGCACAGTCTGCATTTTGATTCATCCACTGATTTTTCGATCCTGGCCTTAATTGCAATGGTTCTGATGGCTTGCTCCTAAGCTGCAAGAATCAGGCCCTCTGTCTCCTTCTTCAGTGTTCCATTCATGAGCCATAGCCAGGTCTTCTCCCTGTCAATTTTCCCTTCAATTTTGTCAAGGAACTGCCCATGCAATGTTTTGTTGTGCCAGCTGTCAGCTCTGGTTTGTAGTGCAGTTTTCTTGTGCTGATTCTTTGTCTGCTGTGCTTTGAGAAGTTTCAGATTACTGACTTCAATTAAAGCAGGTTCTTGGCTTTCCTTTGCATATTCTGCCAGGGCATGTTTTTCTTCTTCAACTCCTTTTTTTACTTGTAAGAATCCTCTGCCACCAGACCTTCTAGGCAGATAGAGCTGGTCAACATCAGTGCGAGGATGCAGTGAATTATGAATGGTTATGAGTTTTCTTGTTTTCCTGTCTAAATTGTCCAGTTCTGCCTGCGTCCAGTTTATGATGCCAGCAGTATATCTTATGATAGGTATGACCCAGGTGTTTATGGCCTTGATGGTATTGCCTCCATTGGGCTTGCTTTTGAGAATTTTCATGACCTTTTGAATGTATTCACTTTAGGATTTTCTCTCCAAAAAGTCTATTTCTGAAAGATTTCTGCATATTGCCTTTACTTGTTGTTCTGTTTGAGGCACTGATCAATCAAATTAGATATTATTATTATTATTATTATTATTATTATTATTATTATTATTATTTTATACCCCGCCACCATCTCCCTGAAGGGACTTGGGGTGGCTTACATGTGGGACCAAGCCCAGAGACAACAACAAAGTTTACCAACTAAAACATAATTAAAACATAATAACATATCAAAATCCAATTAAACAATTAAAAACAGCATCATTAAAATGTATAAAAATTAAATCCTAATATGCTATGAGTATATAAGAATTTAAATATAAAGTTTGATGATGCTATAGTAGATTTTCAAAAGTTTCAGAATTAGTATGCTATTATTCTAATATGATTTCATCATAATTTGATTCACACTATCTCTTCATGCATCTTAATATGCAATGTTTCTGTAATGCACTGATACCTTATAAATAAAATACAGAAATTGGTCCATTTTTCATGACTAAAGGTTTGAGGCAGCAGTAACTGAATAGTTGTGCTCTGGACTTCAACGTAATTTATGCATAAATCTTTGTGTTTATATTTTAAAAGCACTAAGACAAAAAATATTTCTGAATGCAAAGCAACAAAACAATTAGAATGCAATGCAACCCTTCCTAATATTCCTGTGAAAAGTTAACATATTAAGACTTGCTATTTCCATTTTCACCAAAAGAAATGCAAAAGTCCTTTTCCAGCAGCAAAGATCAAAATACAAGAACTTTAATGGCATATTCTATTGATTCTATCTATTTCCCAGCCATATCATGTGGCAAAATAGTTCAAATAAAAACATTCCAAAGACGTTAATGGGAACAGCTTTGTAAATGTCTGAGAAAATGGAGACAAATAACAAATATTTTCTATACATGTCCCATCTAAGCCTTGTATGGAGAGAAAAGAAGGCATAGTAAAACACAGCCCAGTTCAACTTCCCTGTCAGTTCTGTAGGGGGGAAATTCACCTGGAGTTACTGAGAGAGAAAATACTTATACTTATATACGAGCAATTTCTGTTTCTAGTGATGTTGTGTGTAGGAGGCATATTAAGCTATTTTCTCCCTTCAGTAGCAATGAATTCAGTGCAAGTAATGAGTAATTTAGAGAAGATGAAGATAAAGGCTTTTTAAAAAGGCCCAAGGGGTATCTTTTGCCTGGAAACTATTTGGCAAACTGTTAGCAAGGCATCAGAAGCATTTTATAAGCTAAAGATAAAAGTCTTACTTATCACTGATAATTTAGTGGTGCCCACACAAGGCAAAACTCTACAAATCAGGAAAACTGCATTTCTTCTTCCTTCTACTGTCTGAACACTGTATCCTTCATTCTACCATTCCCAGGGGAACCACTAACAATATTGACTGAATAATTTAACATTGTGATATTAGCAAACAAAGCCAGTGCTTTGAATTAATCCATTTTCTTTTACACCCTCTTATTCTCAGATGTTTTTGAGCAAAAAACAAGTATGATGCACATATGAATAACTTAGGGCAGTGGTTCTCAACCTGTGGGTCCCCAGATGTTTTGGCTTTCAACTCCCAGAAATCCTAACAGCTGGCAAACTGGCTGGGATTTCTGGGAGTTGGAGGCCAAACACCTGGGAACCCACAGGTTGAGAACCACTGATTTAGGGCATCAGAAAGCTAGTGTTGTTCCTTAAAATGAGATGACCACTTCTAAAAGAATAACTCTTCAATTTCTAAAAGGATAATTGTTCAAAGGATCAAATCAATATGTTTTTGTTATTAACCTGTTCTCAAGGTACTTATTTTGATAATCAATAATTAACTCAATGACAATTATTTACAAGAATAAAGAATCATTTCACAATAAGAATTAGGATAAAAGTGATCGCAGAATCTACATCTACAACCATTCTCCCTACAGGGGAAAGAATGGTTATCAACTAATCATACACAAAAAAGAAAGCTAGTATCAACATATATTTCACAGGTCTTCAGAGTCAAATCAACAAAGTAAGGCACATTTCAACAGAGTACACTGCAATTTTGCCCCATGTAGTAAGTTACATCCAGATTACAGGACGTTAGTGTTAAGACTCAGTATTATGAACACCAAGTTTGTACAGAGACTATGTTTCTGGTGACATTTCAAGGGCCATAATTTCTTGAGCTTGTTATATAGTAGTGCAAATTATGCAACTCAAGGAAAGATATTTTGTATTCCCTTGTTGTTGTTGTTCATTCGTTCAGTCATCTCCGACTCTTCGTGACCTCATGGACCAGCCCACGCCAGAGCTCCCTGTCGGCCGTCACCACCCCCAGCTCCTTCAAGGTCAGTCCAGTCACTTCAAGGATCCATCCATCTTGCCCTTGGTCGGCCCCTCTTCCTTTTACCTTCCACTTTCCCCAGCATAATTGTCTTCTCTAGGCTTTGCTGTCTCCTCATGATGTGGCCAAAGTACTTCAACTTTGTCTCTAGTATCCTTCCCTCCAATGAGCAGTCAGGATTTATTTCCTGAAGCATTGACTAGTTTGATCTTCTCGTAGTCCAAGGTACTCTCAGAATTTTTCTCCAACACCACAGTTCAAAAGCATCTATCTTCCTTCATTCAGCCTTCTTTATGGTCCAGTCTCACATCCGTAGGTTACTACAAGGAATACCATTGCTTTTACTATGCGGATCTTCGTTGCCAGTGTGATGTCTCTACTCTTCACTATTTTATCGAGACTGGACATTGCTCTCCTCCCAAGAAGTACAATCATTACTTTCTTCAAATACAGAGATTCAAATTTAACAACAGAGTTCTTCTGATGTTATAGGATTTTAGCTTCCATGATCTTCCAGCCGGTAATTTCGTTACTATGGATGTATTGTTGTTGTATTTGGACATTGAATGTTTACCTTATATGTTTGGAATCCACCCTGAGTCCCTCCGCGGAGTTAGTGCAGAATAGCAATAAAGTGTTATGTTGTTGTTGTTTTGGTTGTTTTTGTTACTACTATTGTTATTATTATGAAGGGTTCTGGGAGTTATGGTCCACCTATTCAAAGTATTGAAAGTTTAAGGATAGATACACCAAATGCACCAGACTAGATATAACAATTAATCAAAATTGATTTTACTTTTTAGGAGTACATGTTATTTTAGCACATACTAAAATGTCAAGTACCGGATTAAGCACAATTCTGAACACTAAAGACTAGAGACTACGACAATGGTATATTAAGCATTTCAGAGTAAACATTGTAAATAAAATCTTTACACCAAGAATATTTTGTTAACCATTTTCTGCTTTTGTAATAACTAAAGAAGCACAGAATAGTCTTATCTAATCCTGATGTAAACATGAGTGGATTTCAACTAAGTGGACATGATTAAATTGTAGACCAGTCATCACAATAACAGCAATAATCCTTTGCTAAACATACCTTGCTAACTTCTTTTAAAGCTCGCTTGCAAACTTCGTATTTTGGTGAGTCTTTATGTGTTTTCTGGCAAATAGTCTGAAACAAAGGGTGAAACCATTTATAACTATGCAAAAACTTTAGGTAAACCAATTTAAAATATAGCACACAGCTTTAAATTTCTACATTTGTGCTCTAGGAAAGCAATATATTTTGGTTCCTCCAAAGCGTAAATGCTGATTTTTTTCCAGGAATGGCAACAATTTGAATGATAAATAGAAGATCACATTTTTTACCACCCAGCTCTTTTGGACTTCATTCACAGAATCTCCTACCAAAAGCTATGTTGGTTGAGCCTTCTAGGAGTTAAAGTCCAAAACATCTGGAGGATCTGACACTGAAAGCACTGTTCCAGATGGAAAGGAAGAACAATTAACATTAGATGTACCACCTCTAAAGAGGCATCATTCAAATCAATTTTCAGCTATACGTTAACATTTATTTTCCCTCTTTTCTAATTCCAAGTGGAAATACTCCTTTCCTCTCTTCATTTTAATAAAGCAAAACTGACCTTCATGATTTTAGTTAGTGAACTATTCTTTTTTTAGCTATTTAGATCAAACAGAAGATGAAATTCAAAGTTTTGGAGGAACTCCATAAAAGTAAAAGGAGTTTGATTTTTAAATCAACATTTTCTAGACTTGCTTTCATAAGGAAACTATGAAAACAAAGCAGTACCAAAGCAAACATCCTGCACTGATAGGTTTCTAATGACAAGGGCAATATATTATGCTTTTTAGTGAAAGAAGCCAAAACACCATAAAATTGTTCTATGGTAATATGTTGTTTTTGCAGTCTGAATGTAATCATTATTCCCAAATTGTTGGCAAGAAAACATGATCAAAATTAATTGCAATAAAATTGTACTTAATGAATAACAGAGCTAGGGTGGTTAAGAGGCAGAAGATCCAAGCACATCTTGCAAGAAACTCACTGGGTGGTCCCAAGCAACCCACAGTACTTCATAGATCCTGCCATGATTCTTACTGCATTATTTTATTAAATTTTCATTACCTATTAAATATTAAACAGAAATGCTAATAATAATCTACCAAAACTAGGGTTTAACTAGATGTTGTTATTAGCATACCCTGTTGCAGTAGTAGTAGTAAATTTTACTGATTAGCCCTTAGGCCATATCACAATACCAAACCAAACAAAAAGGCTTGATAAAACTTGATTACATTCTATAGAGGTAAGTTAAGTAAAACATATCCTGTTGCAAATAATAATAATAATAAAAATCTTGAGGCAAAGAAGAAAAATCAAGTTGCTGATAACTTGGTAGAGCACTTTGTTACTCTTCACAGCACCAAACTACCCCTCAAGAAATTATTCTGTTGGTTGTCTGTCAGGGATACATGCTAGCATTGAATGGAAGTGGGTCTCGTCTTCCACCCCTCTTTTCACATTTTTCTAATGCCTCCTCTCTCTCCCTCTTTCTGACACCTCTCACCCTCCCTTTCTTTGTCTTCTAGCATCCCCTTCCTGTTTTGACTCTCTTTTCCTCTCTCTTTCCCCAATATGAGTTAATAATTACAGTCAGCGCTCTGTATTTGCATGTTTAACTTTTTCAAATTTTATTATATGCATATTTTATTAATGTGGTATCTCTAGGAATCTTCAGGTTCTTCAGTGTAACTCTGGTCAACCACAGAATCATACTGGATGACCTAAAAATCCCCAGTGTGGCGTTTTTGTAGTTTAAATAAAATAGTGTTTTTATCTACAGTATTTCCACTTTCTCGCACCTCTAACTTCAGCAGTTGTAAAGGGCTGATTGTATAAACAACAATACAATCATGACATAAGAATTTTTCTCTGATTAAAAGGTAATAGTGCATCAGTCTCTGCCCATGTTCCCTCAGCTTCTTCCCTCCACTACTTCCCTCCTTCCAGATATTTCCAATATGAGGAATTTAATGATTAGGAAGATTCTCTATGTGCTATCAAAATACAGGCAACTTCTACTCTCATTCTGCATCCAATGCTATACTACTACGGAAAACCTCTGAAGTATTGCATTTAGAGCTTGACAGGCTCTGAAAAGCCACGTACTGTCCATTTCTCTGCTGCAGAACCATCAGAGCAGGAGAACATCTGGCACCTCTCTTCAGAGCAAGCCAAAGCTGCGCTCTAAAGGGATGATTCTGCTGTCTTCCAGCAGATGGGAAGGAATAAGCAGATCTCCTTCTGTTCAGAGCAACAGAAGGCCTTTTGATAGGGAGCAGCTCTGATTCATCACCCCCATATTATGTTGGAGTGTGGGAATTGTTCAGCCTTCCAGATGTTGTTGGATTGAAGTTCTAAGCAGCTTTAGCTAGCATAGAAACTATTGGGGAAGGCTGAAGCTGCAGTTCAACATTTGGAGGATCACAAAACTCCCACTCCTTCCATAATGCCATAGGTGAACATATCTTCCAGCTCTGTAACATGGTTGATCCTAAGTGTAAGATATTTGGCACAAACAGCCAAAGCAAAGGATTTCTGTAACCAATAGGATTTTACTATGCTTAGTATCAGCTGGGGCATACTCTTATTTTTTTCAGTTTTTTTCTGCTTCTTCAATGCCATCAGTTTGAATGTAATCTGGAGTTTAAAATGTCATGCTGACAATTTCTCTTAAAGAGTGACTTTCAAGAAATGTTTTGAGAATGGCAGAACTTAACCTGATCTTGGATAACTAAGAAGAAGGAGATGTTATAATTACACTTTTCAAACTGACATCTTCATAAAGCTAAATTAGTGTTTCTCCTGTTTTCAGCAGCTTACTAAAAAAACTGATATCAATTCTCCTTCCATATGTTGCATTCTGAATGTCAACTGTTATAAGAGGTTTTTTTTTTTCTGGGCAAATGTAAGAATCTTACAAAAATTCAGAATTAATTAGGATCCAACAGGAAAGCAGCACCAGATATAGGGACGGACATAATGCCTTAACACTGTTGTAAAAAATTTAAGCATTTTTTTCTTAAGGAAGTATTTCACCTGAACTGGACAACTCAAAGGAAAACAGAGCTGAAGAAGTAATTGAGTGGAATTAAATGTTGTATATATAAGGACAATTACAGCAAACAGAGAGCCATAAGTGCTTACATCCATCAGCAGCGGAAGCCGTGTGACCCGCTGCATTGGGAGAATAAGGAAAGAAATCATAGGTAGATTCCTACATTCTTCTTGGGACTCAATCCGTGACAGCACTTCCTTGAAGGCTGGATTAGTAGCTCTGTGCAAAATAATAACAACAATACAATGTTAAAGACAGTCTTAAAAGTAAATTTTATAACATGCTTGTATAAAATAGCTAATACTTTCATATAAACTGGTACTTTCCTACAAACTGTGCCTATATTTTAAGTACACAAAACAAAAAAGGGGAAATATGAACAACATCTCAGCACAATAAGCTAAAATATAAGTATTTGACTCACAAGCACAGTCATTTAAAGCAAATAAACTAGGAAGCCTCAAAGAGGAAACTTACTCCACATTTCCCCCAGTTGAGATTGAACAGCAAACTACACCCAGACATATTTTAAATAAATAATAGAACTTAGGGCTTAATTCAGACAGAATCAATCTGATGTTAGTGTAGCCAAGATGTCTTGGTTACTTTGACTGAATTCAGGATAATCTTAATAAACAGGAATACAATTATATATAAAATCAGAACTCAACTAATTTGTTGTATAGTATAGAATAGCATTAAATTGGCCATTTACAAAAATAAAAGGTAGTTTCCATCACTTACAGTAATTTCTGGAGCGTTCTCTGCTGGTAGACTTCATTTGTGCAATATTTCACATAAGGATCAAAAGTTGAGGTAGTATGTTTTTCTACAATATCACTTATGTCATCTATGACTATGTTGTTCTGATGTCTTGCTTCAAGCTCCTTAAAGAACCTAGAAGTTAACAAATTAGAAGTCACATTTCATTGTGCTCTGGTATGTGAAAAGCCTATGGATCTTAACCGGCTGTAAACCATACAAATATGTAGAGGTAACGTGGAAGGATTTGTGTGTGTGTGTGTGAGGAGTGACTTGGGAAACTGCAAGTCGCTTCTGATGTGAGAGAATTGGCCTGGGGAGCCAGAGCTGACAAAGGGAGCTCTCCCCGGATTCAAACCTGCGACTTGTTGGTCTTCAGTCCTGCTGGGACAAGGGTTTAACCCATTGTGCCACCAGGGGCTCCACTTGGAAGGATCATATCAGAGAAAAGTTTCAGCTTGTCTCTTTGCCAGAGGTTTGTGCACATGCTTTTCTTCCAAAAATAATTGAATATAGTACAACAAATTGATTTTGTATGAGAAAAACTGTTGGCATTTCCAGATATACCTACCTTTCAAAATTATATCTCTGCAGTGTGTAATCTAATGGAAAGTCAATGCATTTGGATCCTATACTGTTACTGTTGCAAAAAAACACCCCCTTGAACTTCAATGTTGGGAAAATAATCTTGCGCTATTTATTGTTCAATGGCTAGAAGATCTTACCACTTATATATCCCTGAACATGTATTTTATAGAAGCCAACTGGGAAATATGGTTAGCTTATACTGCTTTGCTGCCAGCTCATATTCATACCTTACACAAGTTTCCCTCTTCTTTTCTTCCCCTTCTCTTACTTTTTGGTTTGCTTTTCTTTGAAACCATACATTTAAACAAAAAAATGTGCATGCTTTTACTGATAGGAATCATACCATTCTAGATTTGTCTGTCAGGAATGGACTTCCAAAACAAAATGACTTTTTAATTGTTATAGGCAGTTATTCTTCATCAAGAAGAGGAAGCTCATATCCAGGCTTCAGGAATTGTTAGTGGACACCATGATTGCTCATCCCACCACTTTTGCTGAAGCATGGGGTTCTTCCTTGCACGTTCACACAGCAGCCCCTAAGTTCAAGAGTTATTTGGTGGCCACAGTGATCACACATCCTCTGCTGCTACTAAAATACAGGTTTGATGCAAGTCCATTCACCCAGCAACCAAAGGATTTGGGAGTTGGTTAACTGTCACAGTGATCATCCAATTCCCTCCTGCCGGAGCATGAGGTTGCTATGTGAATGTGCACGCAGTGAATTCAGAAGGAGCTGCAGACTCTGGTACCATTTTCATGTTTTCTCTACCTCCAACAAGTGCCTTAGGAGCCCTTTGAGGAGCCTTGTTCTCACTTCCATTGAATGTGCTTTTCCCACATGTTCATGTGGGAGCTAACTGTCTGTAAAATATACTACAGGTCACTGACTGTTAATTTAGTCTCAAGTTTTGTTATGATACAAAAATAGTCCCTTTAAATGTGTTTCACTTGAAACTAAAGTGGCTATGAGATAATGCTTTATGTCAAATTTCAGTATAAGTTAGACTTCTTGAGAGTTTATTTTCATCTTTATCTCCTTGTTAAAATAAACATCTGAACTGTAATAATCAAACATATCTCATTCTGCCCATTCCCAAGAGACTCCATTAAACTATCTAAAATGTACTCATATCGCCTTCACTACAGCTACTTAGAGAAAATAGCTAACTCTTAATCAATCCCTTTTACCCACTGACAAAATGAGGCCTCTCTGAAAATGTTCTCTGATTTAATTTGGTTTCTCTTGCTGAAGGGCCTTTCCATAATCAATATGCTGGTCTGCAAATTCTTTACAATTAAGAATGAAACAAGGGTATTGCTGACTCATTGACTCCAACAAAATTTAAAGGAAAAATCTAACAGCAATTTAAGCACATTACCAATTGCTTTAGGAAGTAAAGGATGGATGGGTATAAGATGTTGTCACAGCCACAAACTATTTGCTACAGTACTAAAAACTGTAGCTTTCCTGACACTACCTAACCAGAAGTTCATGGTTCTTGTACAGCAGTTGTAGCAGTTAGTTACAATTAATGCCTTCATCAGTGCATAGCAGTATGTCACGTGGATAGGTAGGTAGTTAAATTTCAGGTAGCTGTCTTTTTGTGTACTGGTAATAAAGACAGCTGTGCCAGCAAATCAATTAGGGATTCTGCATTCAGCACTCCTTCAGATGACCAAATGAAAATGCTAATCTAGTCTTCTTTTCTTTTGTAACTTTGCAAGATTCCTCTTACAGTTCTCTGATGCACAGATACTCATTTTACTTTATTCCAAGCCAGTGCTTGGCTTCCTTCTGACAACAGAGTACAAAATGCTATTCATTTTTAAGAACAATGTAGAGTAGTAAAGGTTTCCCTTTGACATTAAGTCTAATAGTGTCCGAACCGGGGGGAGGGGGGTGGTGCTCATCTCCATTTCTAAGCCGAAAAGTTGGTGTCCAAGGTCATGTGGCCGGCATGGCTGCATGGAGTGCCGTTACCTTCCTGCTGAAGCTGTACCTGTTGATCTACTCACATTTGCATGTTCTCAAACTGCTAGGTTGGCAGAAGCTGGGGCTAACAGTGGGAGCTCACCCCGCTCCCCGGATTTGAACTGCCAAACTTTTGGTCAGCAAGTTCAGCAGCTCAGTGGTTTAACCCACTGTGCCACCAGGGGCTCTGGTAGTAGAGTAGTAGATAGAATTTAGATCATACCAGGAAAATTAGGATTCAGACCACCACTCAGTTATAAAGCTTGCTGGTAAGCTCAGACTAATCTCTAGAGCCTAATTTATCTCACAGTGTTTTCATGAAGGTTCTACAGGTTTCTTAGAAGCTAGGACAAATTATAATAAATACTCCCTTCACACTGTCTCGCCACACATCGAGATTTATAACTTCTTGTTTTCCCTCATCTCAAAATTTAAGAATATAGTAAAATATGTATATATTTTAATCAAGCTGTTTTCATGAAGATTTGTTCAGTTACCACAAAGACTGCCTGAATTAGAGACTTGAAGTCTTTAAGGTGATTGCAAAAGCAAAGAAGACATCAGCCCAAAAAGAACAAAACTGCAAACTGAGATTACTCATTGCTTGTTGTCTAGATAGCTGAAATGTTATTATTCACAACATGATTGTGTAAAGGTATAGGAGTTCAGGAAAGAACTCACACCTCTTGATCTGGTCTGGCCCTTTCATCCTCACTGAGGTGCCAGAAAAGGGAAGCAGATACCAGCTGCCAGGAATTTGAACTGGAGTAGAGACAATCCACATCAAATAAAGCACGTATTCTCCCCTTCCTATTGGAATTCCCTTGGGTAAAAAGAAGGAAGGGGAGGAGGCGATGCCATTACATCCTCTTATTTTTTGCACCCTTGGTTTTCTGATTAAGTTTACTAGTGGGCTGTGAAAGATCCAACAAGAACTCTGCAGAAAATGAAAAGGCTCAACTAAATATGTTCAAGAGAAGATGATCTGCTGTCAACACCTTTTGTCCATAATGATGTGAAGTGTTTGATGGCAGCAGGGCTTAGGAAAAGACACTAGTTCATTGTTGACTTATTTTCCACAAAAGTGGAAATATCACTTTTAAAAGTATTTTCTTTATCAGTCTAAGACTCGAAATGGAAAATGCCATCAATGCTGGTGAACTTTCAACATGATCATCAAGATGTTAGTGAGATTTCTTAACATCCTTATTTCTGAGATTCCCCAATTCACTATGAAATGAGAGATGGTTCCAGCCTTGTCCAAGAACATGGAACTCCCAGGAATTCAGACTTCTCTGGTAGACATAAAGAAATAAGAGGGGGGAAACTTAAAGGACCAGGAGAAGATGGTTGAAAAAATACTTGTGCCCCTGTGGGCTGTTCTACAACTACGTTTCTGGAGTCAAGATCAAGTTGTATTTCCTTCTTTATTTCTTACATGCGGGAAATGTTCTTTTATGGTTCACAGGAGAATGAACAGTCAACTCATGAAAATGCCCAGAAGCTTTTACTTAATGAAATTCTGTATTTCTTCCCAAATGAGAAAATTGCCTGCATCTCTTAGGGATAAATGTTTGACAAAATGAAGCAGCATACATTAAGTAACAAGAAAGCAAGTTTGAAGTGCTCACTGTATTAAGGATTATTATTTTTTTTGGCACAGCAGGATTTAAAATGGATTCACATTCTTTGTAACTGCATATGTTTTATAACTCCATATATTGGATTAACTGATTAAATCATCAAACTAAATTTCAAGACCTTTGACAAAAAGCCATTCCCCCTTTAAAGTGCTTTCTCCTCTTTCAGAATGATTTTGTTGTTGAAACACTCAGATCATCCCTACCCCCCAATAACACTTCCCCATGAAACAATGACAATCAAAGTTGAACAACTGCAAGTTGTTTTCCCATTTACAAATGCAAATCAAGGGCCATAGATTGGGGCAATATACACTCATGGAAACTGGATCAAGATGAATGTGTGGCTTTCAAAAAGGCAAACATTGAATTCTATTAAATTACATCCAATAGGAAATCTGCAAACTGGATAATTTTTGTTTTGGCCAATAATAATGCATTAACAATTTCAACTACTTCTTCTCTGGCATGAAAAATGTCCCATGATATAAGTCACATCTTCCATAATGACACATAAGGCTTTCTTCTCAGTACACATTCATACCCCAAGATATATTTGAATGAAATGACAGTTGGTGCCTCCTAAGTCAGTAGGTGTACATCTACTGAAGGTTTCATTTCAAATTTTAAATGAACTACTCTTAATGGTGCACCTCTCTGGAGACGTGGTTTCAACTCTTTGCATAGCTCCTTTCAAGTTTAAACTAAAATCCAAAATGGGTTCATCTGCCCACTGGCATGAAATCCACAAACTATTACTATTTTAATGTAGCTTAGAGTAGGAAACTATCTCTTGTAATATTTCAGAAATACATGGATATAAAAAGGTAGGGAGAAATCCACCATGCATTGAATGTTGTTCAACTTCAACTCCATCATTCATGAATACGGTATCCTTCCGGGTTGTGTCGCAAGGATGAATCTTGGAGGTACTA